CATTGGAAACACTGTTCAGCTTTACTGTACTATGTGTAGGACAATCTTTAACTAAATGAGTAGTCTGTTTACAGATAAAACATTGTCCTTTAACTCTCATATTGTCTAGTTCAGCTTGTGAATGCCTTTTCACACCTGTAGAATAAGTTTTCTTACTATTCTCTTACTTATTCTGTCTAGTATCCTTATACTTCGGTTTGTAGTCCTTAGATTGGTCTTTCTCTTTAGGACCTACACTGTTAGACTGTATGTGCTGCCTGTTATAATTATTACAATTATAATCATAATTCCTGTCCTTTGGTCAATTTCTATTATTGTTCCTGTAATTCCTCTGATTGTTCTTCTTCCATCTGTCTTTTCAATGGTCTTCTTTGTTAGTCTGAGGATAGAATCAATCTCTAGTATCTGTATACCATTTAATTCCAACAGCTTCATTTGCTTTCTCAATGTTCTCAAGCCTGTCTTTGAATTCTTCATATAATACTGTGTCTGGATTCAAACAATCCAACTGTAATTGCCTTTGGTACTTAGGATGAAGTCTATCCTATACTCTTCTAGTCAAATCTCTATCAGAAATATTGTCTAGGTTGATTGCTTTCATTTCTAGATTGTACAAATATTCCTGTATGACTCTGTGTCCTTGTTATCAGGTTTACATTACTTCTCTAAAGAACAAGTAGGAGTACTACCTAATTTTATTAAAGGACAAGCTATAGACTTCTATCTACAGAAAATAGGTATGAACAAATCTTGATGGACCTTATCACAATTCTTTAAAGGTCTAATAGACTTTTGTTTCCCCTCTAACTTTACAGAAATACTTAGGAAAGAGTTTAATACAATGATGTTTCATGTACTGATTGACTTCCATAATGAACTTGGTATATCTTTGAAGGTTAGGTTCACCTGAATAAACTGTAGGAATGATAGGTTTTGTACTCTGTATCTGTATCTTCAATTTGAGAAGTTCCTTGTTCCATTTCCTCTTAGTAAGCTTTTTACACTTCTTAGTACCTTCAGAGTCACTTGAATCAATGTCTGTAGGTTTGAATAATGCATCACTATCATTACCATTGTCAGAGCTCAAGTATCCACTCAAATCCAAAGGATCCAAAGAGCTATTGCCTGGATCCAGGTTAGAATCCTACCTTTTTACAATTTCTACTCTCTGTATTGTATGATTCACATAACTCTTTCTTGCAAGGTTGTCTGAGAGTCTCACTAATGTGAATCTACTTGTCTACAGTGTATTTGAGCTTTGTGACTCAGTAGTATCTTGTGTGGTTCTTTTTCTGTAGCCTTTACTATTCCCATTTGTACTGTACTTGATAGAGGGTACAGAACTGTAGCAGAAATTCTTTTCCTCAATCTCTTTGTCTTTCACAGTTTCTGATTTGTCTTCACTGTCATCAGAGGCATCCAGAACTGTAAGTTTCACGTCTGGGTTCAGCCTATTCATTTTAATATTGTGTTTTGTACTGGGTGTATGTAGCAATTCTTGAACATTAGTATAATGGTACATATATACAGGTATTTTATTCTGTAATGTGTCTCCTTGCCCTACTAGGGTGTTGTATCTATTGTAGAAGTCCTTGCCTTGATTTTCTATCTTAGAGCAATACGTTTCTTGCTTGAAACAAACTGGTAATTCCTGAGGAGTTCTGGGAGCCTTACTGTAGCCTTTATTTCTGAAATTCTATTATCCTGATTCTGCATTTTGTCTGTACTCTATCTCCTAAAAATACATTCTTTGTACATTGGAATCTGCTTTGCTGGAACTGTCTAGTTCTACCTGACTGTAATTACAAATGTCTGGAGCTTTTCCTTTATTTGCTCTTACACTTTTCTTATTACTAGGTACAGGTTTACCTGGATCTTTCTTCCAAGAATGTGTGCTTTCAAACTGTAGAGTATCCTTCAATTGTTTGGGCATTTTTTTAGTAGCTTCTGAATATCTAGTACATATCTTCTAATATATCTATTCAGCTAAATTGTCTCTAGTTAATTTAGATTGATCTGTTGTGTCTAGTTAATTTAGATTGATCTGTTGTGTCTAGATCAATAATTCCTTCATGTTCCTAATACATACTATTGTACTTATGAGTTCTCTTGTTCAATTCCTTAATATCAATTCCTTGATTGAATGGACTGGCTAGCCTACTTATGGCTTTCAGTGTCTCTAGCCTATGGACATTTCTAAATGTCTTTCTAACCTTCTGGAATGTTTCCTACTGTAAGGAAAGTGTTATTCCTTTACTAATACCCTTGTTCTTACTGACAGAATCCTCAATGCCAGGTTCCTAAGTATTTACACTCTCTGTACCACTATTCTCTACTTCTGTGAGCCTAGTAAGGTAAGCACTTGCTAGTGTCTACTCTACAGTGTGCATTAGTCTAACTATATGCACTAGTACAGGTACATGCCTTTGTTCTATGTTACTAGTATGTAATAGTTCATTAGGGTGCCTCCAGCCTTGTGTAGACAAGGACTTATCACCTGGCAAAGGGTCATCAGATTGTCTCCAGCTCACAGTAGATGAGGACTTATTCTCTAGCATGTTAATAGTAACTTCCAGACTTGGGGGCCCTTCTGGGATTGTCTGCTGAGGCTCAGTAGCTACATTGTGTTTAGTACTCAATAAATAATCTTGTTGTCCATTGTCTACATACTTTGTTAATTCAAAATCTGTAGTGTGTACTGTTTTGAATCTCTCTACATTCAGGGACAGCTACTTTTCAGCACTTCTGAATGACACTTGCCTTCTGTAATGTTGACAAGAGGGTCTCTCTGCATTAAGGGGAACAATCTGTTCACATCCCTTGAGTGTCCTAAGAATTCTAGTAGCTATAGTGAGAGTATATGCATCTCTAATTTAGATTTGCAAACTACTCACTTGTTTCTTTGAATTTGTAGGAGTACTAGGTGATGTGAGAAATGTATTAGGGTGATCAAACCCTCAGTTCTGGTCATCAAAGCCTAGCAGGTTTAGGGAAAGGTGGGTTCAGTCAAAAATGTGTAAGGATAGGTATACTAGCCTTATGTGAAGATTCTCTCTTTACTAGCACACTCAACTACTGACTGGGATAACCTAGTAATTGAGCACCAAGAAGGAGAAAGAATCCCCTAACCCTTAGCTTGAAAACCCTTTATATATGCATATACACATATAGTAGGATACAGGGTAGTCTAGTGAACAAAAAGGAAAACACCCACAAGCACCTACAACACATGTAGCACAAATGCACAGGTAGCACAATCGTTACATTAACTATATAGTAATACTGACTACATTTAATCTATTAACATTTTACCTAGTTTCACATAGTTTAGAACCATACTACTCACTGTCCAGAATGTTACTACTGTCTTAATACTTACTAGATTGACTTCAGATTAGTTTGAGAAGGTAATAATACATTACAAGAATGTTTCCCATATGTATGAGTAAGGTATTTCATTATTTACTTGTTACTAACTATTACTTTTAGTAAGTTCTCTACCTTTTTTACTGATTTTTAGTATTTAGAACTAAATGCTAGAGAGCAAGTGTAAGGATTTACTTTACTAGTTTGTATTTTATTATTACTATATTACTGATTGAGTTAGATCATTACACAGTAGGACCCACAAGCACATATATTCTTATTATAGTTAGTTACACTTTCTCCTCATGTATCTACACATGTATACTCTTATAAAAGACAGTATCAATTACTGAGTAAAGGGGATTCTTTTCCCTAACCCCTTACTTAAGTACTAGGTTATCCTAGTTAGTAGTTGAGTGAACTAAGGGCAATTAGAATTCTCTTGTGAGGAACAGTGAGTTTCCTTACAGAGAGTGTACACAGACTTGGATAGAGGATTGTGCCTTAGGAGTGATTGTATAGGAATGTATGGAACTATTGAAGAAGTTGTTCTGTATTAGCTAACAATGCAAATGTGCAAATAGTAATGCGAAAAGAACAGCGAATGTAAAAAAGGAGGACAATGTGAGAGAGGCAACGTAAGAGGCGGAGCAAAGAGTGGACAGGGTGGAAGGGAGATAAAAAGTTGGGAGGAGAGGGATGAGCAACTGTTGTGCAGGCTATTATATGAAGTGGACCGGCTGCTTACGCTTTACATTGAAGGACGGTGTAGTCACCTAGTTGTGTCGTTGCGGAACCTGAGGCGCAGCGCAGGCATTGCAACAGCAGATTGGGAAGACAAGTGCAGCAATGTTTATTGCCTAGGTTGTTGCAAGCAGAGTGCCTGCTGGCAGGACGTTTGCAAGCGGAGGACTGTACTGGAGAGAACACAAGTGCAACTTGACATCGAACGGGTGGCAGAGGGTTGTAGGAGATGGTGAAGGTCGGAGACAAGGAGTGACGAGAAGAAATGCATCATTATATGCTCTCGATCTTCAGCATGTGATTACATAAGCGCCTAATATTTCTTATATTCTAAAGTTTGTATACACAAAATAACTCTTGCATAATACATACAATACAATTGAAATATATTATTGTAAACTTACATTCAACCTAAAAGTCATTTACACCTTTGCAAAGTAATTAGAGTACTATAAGTACTTTTATATATAATAGAAATGTATAACACAGCTTACTAGATTAGATTTTATGTTTAATATAACTCATATACATATTATATATAATCATGTATAGCTTGTATTATCTTATGTATATATATTACAATAGTTGTATTTGCTTTATATGTTAATTATACACTGTATTTTAGTTTATATACTAATCACAAGAAAGATAGTTTAATATAATATAATTTAAAAGCTCATATATAGAATCAGACCTTTTCCTGATGTCATTCAAAAGTAACTGACTTTAGAGCAGCCACAATCAGCCGCGACGATTCTACAAAACGAATTCAGAGCAAGTACTCAACACTAGTAAACCTGATGCATGTAGTCAGCTATCCTCGTGTCTTAGTCAATTTCTGGTAGCTTGATGCATAATTCTCTGACTCTGTAGTTAACACATGGCCTTCTGTTACACTCTCGTCTGCATACATCAATGAGCAACGAGTGAAGAGTGTGGAAAAGTTCGTGATTATACTCATCAGTGTCATCAAAAAGAAATACAAAAACAAGATTACAAAACGTCCCGCCTAGTAGAATCGATGTCTCCTTACTCTACGATTGTATCTTCGCACATATCGAACCGTCGAGACTGAGACGGATATGCATGTTGATTGTTCAACACAGAAGCGCTCCGAGAGGCACGAGAATACGTATTGGCTGTTCTGATATTCTCCACTGGCAGTAATGTTGGAGAAACCGGAGATGCGTCTGTGCCTCCTAGTAATACTGGTAGGACTATTTGTCTTGGACCGTGAGACAAGCTGATCCGCCCTGCCCTTCCTCTCGTCTGAGGTGAAGACACGTTGACAGGATGACGACTTAGAGGACTTCTGGAAGATGAAGAAGTTATGCGAGGTGGAGACATAGACTGTCTTGCCGACCAAGTAACGACATTGTATAAACGTTCGTGGTGCGCATGTTCTCGACGATGGCTGCTCCTGCGTTCACGTCCAGTGTAGTCTCCATTTCCGTCCACAGTACCCTGATCAAGCGTTCTAACTCTCGGTGCATGGTTCGGCATGTCCGAATCTGATTCACCTGCTGGCATGGAGCGCAAGTAACCAAACTCTCCAGAGCTCGGCAGTAATCCTGGACAGTCAATCGAGTGGACTAGGGTAGCTTGATGTGTAGGAGCACGAAGATTGTGAGAAGATACGACGGGAGCGGGTGCTGTTAGTCGAACGTGGTTCCCTCGAGAAGATGGATGCGTCTGTGAGGTTGGACCACTCGATTCTGAAGAGGGTTTATTGGAGAAGAGCCCGCCGGAGATACTTTCCTGCACGGATATAGGTTTAGGAGAGGGAGGGAGATCGGAGTTTCTGGAAGGATATAGATGTGGAGAATGAGAAGAATTGGGTACTGGTGGCGAATGCTGATGATGCGATACTTGGTTATCCATACTTGAGGAAGACACAGGAAGTTCCGAATCTTCTTCAGCTATAGGAATAGGATTGTACTCTGTATACCCATCCCTAGACCGTTCTCGTCTATCGGTAGTTGCAGCGTTCCCTCTCTCCTCAGCACCCGTACTGGTCCGTGAAATCCGATCGAGTGCCTTTCTCCACAGCGATCGCCGCCTCTTCTTCCCACTTTTGGTCTTCTTATTTGGTTTGCTACTAGTAGTTAAAGTACGCGAGAACGGAGTAGTGATACCACGTTGCTCGAGTTCAGTTTCAATCTGCTCCGCTAGTCCCGCACTTCGCTCTCGTCGTGAAAATCCAAGTCCGTAAATGTAATCATCACCAGTCCCGATCCATTGTCGTTCACTGTCGATAAGTACTTCCTTCTCGACGTCGATGGACACAGAAACGGGTTGATACTTATATTTCTCATCGGGCTTAGAGTGTGAGTCGGAAACGGTTCGATGAGGATGACCTCGCCTCGAATGATTACTTACGCTGAACACATCCTCCCTTATTGCCATCCGCCGAGCCATAGTATCCGTTTCTGTCCCTCTAGATCGCCGCACGATATACATGAGTCCGTCCCATAACTCGCGGAACGTCTCACGGAAGTCGAATGCATGTCCGAGCGACCGCCAACGTGGAGTTCGTACTACGTCATCTTGTGTGAAAGCTGCTGTTTTGGCCAGGAGTGGATCGGGAGTTTGGACGTAGGGTTTGTACGAGAAGGCCTTGATATGTAAGAATGCGAAGATACTGGATCAGGGGATAGGTATACTGTATTTACGGGTGAAGCATAATGTACGCACGTCATTTCGACCGTCTCCAATATTGCACCAATCCCAATGTTAATGTCGTCCGCGGTCCTACGAACCGTTAGCACCTACATTACCTTGAACGATCGTGAACTTACATATATGGAGTCTTTAGTAGCAACCTGTTAGCAAGTTGACGAATGAAGAGCATATGTCTTGACGTCATTCTTCTATCTGCTCCTGTTGTACCTATCTCCGAGTGCGGACGAACAGAGAGCTATTTTCCTCAAGGTATGACCTTTCGGCTCCATCGTTTTTTTTTTTTTTTTCATTTTGCTTTACACATTGTGTTAACTCTCGCGAAGGTTGGTTTGAGTAAGGAGAACGATCGTCGAGCTATCCAGCGCGGTGAACCAGTCAAGAAATGGATGCTTCCTCTGGGTTCTATCAAGTCTAAACCTGGGGTGCGTCATTTGAAAACTACATCACGAATGATTATTCATAGGATTGGATAGGACGGGCTGTACTTCCTTCAAATGATGAAATGGGGCGTATTGCAGTATTGCGTCGTCCGTCCGACGTACGTCAACAACTTTCTTACCTCTATTCAATTAACTGAAAATAAAATAGGACTACTCTTGCTGCTGTCATACTCGACTACGTTGGCCTGTATTGCGAGGACTCGTGGTCACCTGGATGGGGTCATGTATACGTTCGTCGACTTAGCCCATCCATAATCTGTCGAATTTGCTGATGTTTTTATGTTTAGATCACAATCATCGTATCCATCTCGGTCTCGATCGCCATGTACTGCCTCATCCAAGTATACATCCCTATATCGTCGCAGCTTGCGCGCCATAGACCCATACTGAAGCTGTTTGCAGTCAAAGCCGTTGGTGAGCAAATGCGAGACTTTCTCTGTAATTGTAGGATATTCATTTCTGTATAGTGTTCTTGACGTTCTGGCAAGCAACTTTTCTGTCACTATTGAGTACTTTTGGTGTCGTAAAGGGTGTGAGTATCCTCGTTGACTCGTAGCAATCCCGAAGTAGCAGGAGAGGAGTCGAGTGGTTCTACATTTTCAGTGTAAGACATACTTTTATTCGGTATTATTAGGATTGAAACTTACCCAGAAGAGGTACGAAGCAAAACTGACGATGGAGTAAATTGGTACCATAAATAGAATCCGTACGATATCTATAAACCCTGAGTAATGACGTCGGTGAGAGAAGGAAGAGACGTACATCGCTGCTCGTGTTTCTGAAGTGACAAAACTATGAGGATAGCAACATGATATTCACAGGTGCTCTGACTTACGTTTGTGTATGTCCGTAAATGCTTGTTCACAAGCCATACCGAAACGACCGTCGAAGCGAGTGTGAATACTCCACTGACGATCCACCCAATCTGCAGAACGACTCAGTCCAATTCTAATGGGTAGAATAGTAATAACATAAAGCATACATGGTGAGCTAGAAAAGATACAATGTCAATCCAGGCACAACGCGATTGAAGTACCAACGAATACTTACCTTGAAGAACTAAATGTCCATTCTGGATAAGTGGAGGCGACTGTTTCTCCGCCGGTTCATGAAAGCATGTCGCATTGTTCGACATGAAGACAAAGACAAAGAAAAGAAAAAATAAGTCCAAGTAAGAGAGTCGATGTGTATAGGAAAGAGAGTAGCAGTACAAGACTACAAGTAGCCCCTATTTCACGAGAGAAGCAAAGAAAATGAAAGCGGGTTTAGAAATAGAAATAAATATTCATAAATTGGTGTTCGTGTCGTGAGTCGTCGTAAAGTCGTGATATGATTTCAAATAGTCCTGGTGAAGAAAGTAAGGAAAAGTGGTATGTTGGCCGAGGGTCAGGGTGTATGCCAAGGGTCAGACCGACGGGCGAAGTATGTTGTAGATCCTTCCCGTACACCAATTTTGGACCGGAATCTTTTCTAATTACGTAATAAAATATTCCCGTTCACAAAATTCTTAATTTCTCAATTGGAACTTGTATCGATAGTAGAATTGGGTACAACAGCACTGAATAAGTTATCAAGTATTGCCTACCTCCAGCTATAAGACCTATCAGTGGATGGTAAATGGATGTCAGAAGTGAGTTAGCATTGGAACTAAGGAAGTATACATATTCTTACAGTGAAACTTACATGATTGTTAACTTTCGCTAGTAATAAGGAACTGGACGTGCTGATTATGTTTGATAGTGAGTATTATTGCACTATCCTAATAATACACGTCCGTGCAATGATCACGTGGACAGGGAATCTTGACAAAATAGAACAACACGCTATTCCTCGGACTTGATAGGAGATAGAATTAATTCGAACGTACAACTCAGAAGTTTCGCCATCTCGGAGATGTATAATGGCATGGTAGATAGGATGATTATATGCGGCAAAGAACGGGAGGAAGAGTCAACAGGAACGGGATGTGCACGGTTGGTAAGAAAGTGCGGTTGATAAGTTTGTCGGAGATGAATCAGGAAGGGAAGAAATGAAAAAGGCGTGGATGGTTAGTTATACTACTGTAGGTGCGTGCAATGCGCTGGCAAGATAGACTCGGAGAGCAAGACGTCATTCACGAGAGTGGATTAGTCACAGTGACGACAGTGTGAGAATTCATCCGAGTCTGTCCGAATGATCTACGACGGACCGCCGCATTCGGCGATGACACCGATCTTGTTTCCCCGTTCCTCTCATCTTTGCTAGACACCTAAATTATATATACCCATCTCTTGCTGGTCTAATTATTCCTCTTGTCTTTCTCATACCCCATAGACTACACGATGCGCGGCCGTTCGTCGACAGTGTCCCGCACACGCACTCGCTCCGTCTCTTTCTCTGCCCGTCTCGCTCTCGTCCTCGTTATCAATCGCGGTCCGACACTCGAGTCTCTCCCCACGGAAATCTTGCTCGAGATTATTCGCATCGCAGCAACGCTTCCAGCATCGCGTGACTCAAACAAGTTCGGCGGCAGCACAAGCACTGGCTCTGCCCACCGACTCGTCGACGACGATAGCAGCAATAACAGCGATTTGGTTTTGGTGAAAAATTTGAATACCCTGCCACGCTTAGATCGCCGTACACTCAGAACCCTCGCACTCACCTCCCGCATCCTCTCCGGTCTTGCACACACCATCCTTTACGCCCACGTCTCTCTCACATCTACAAAGCTCGCCACTCTCTACGCACGTACAGTCATCGACTGCGCGCATCGCGATATCACTCTCGTCTCCACGACGTCACCCGTATCGCCTACATCTCCGACATGCAGTGCATTCAACGACATTCCGGCTTTATTCGCTGGCAAGTTCACTAATCGTCTTTCTATCGAATACCCGTTCCACGATTATTCCCCGCGTGCGATGAAGACGAGGAACACGATTGCGGAAGTAGAGCGTTTTCACGCTGCTTCGGGTGCGCTTCTCGGGATTGGCCAGTCCGCTCCGTCCGTGCAGTCTCCTGTCCTTGCGTCGCTTCGGACGCTCGTCATCGATTCGTGTATTCTTGAACATCATCTCAGGCAGCATGCGACTTTGTCATCATCATCATCATCATCATCATCACCTTCGACTTCGAGTTTTGCCTTCCCGTTCGTCTCGCCGACACCCTCGGAGCTTATCTTGCACTCTTACATCTCCTGGAACCCGTCCTCCCCATCTTCATTCTCCCCTCTCGCCCCTCTATCGGCGCATCTCACACACCTAATCGTTGCCGCACCTCCACAGAAATGGACTCTACCAAGCACAACTCTTTCCGCTCTCGGCGGCGCACCCAACTTAACGTACCTTGCACTCGTACGCCGGGCAAACGCGAACGAAGATAACGACGAAGACTTCGTCTTGGACGTTGAGCGTATCCTATCTGAGAGGGCTGGGCAGTTGAAGAATTTGGTGTTGGTCATCGTACCGGATTCGGGGTTCTCTGCTTGGAAGGATTCGCAGGCTCCTGTTTCAGAATCAGACGAGGATGAAGCCATGGAAGATGAAGAAGGGTTTGATGACTCCATTCGCACACTTTCGGCTTACCTCTCCCGTACACACATCTGGTGCCGTCTGTCCTCTTTAATCTCTCAAGTCACTGCGACGACAGGCACCAAAGTCAACGTCTCCCTCATCCCCGGTACCTCATCCGCATGGACTCGCGCACTCCACCTAAGCTCAAAGGAAGGTGCGATCTTTTCAAGCAACATATTCCACTCTGCCGGCGATGCAGGGGCAAACCACTCAGATAAGGATTTATGGAGGTGGTCAAGGCGATTCGAGACGTGGCGTCGAAGCCGACAGTCAAAGGAGCGTGGGCTTCCCTTAACTTGATCCTTAACGACTTAGATTTTCTTTTGCTTTCTTCGTTTTCTTACCCGTATTTCCTAGACTTAGATACATACCATCACTCTAGATCTTAGAGTATGAACCTTGTTGACTTTGACACGCTTGCTCGTTCAGGTTGACGATCGCTACTAGTTATTACCGCTTAGTGTACTTTTTTCTTATTCTTCCAAGGTCTCTTTCATTCGCCTGACGTGAGGCCCCTTGGTACTTCATGCTTTTGCTAGTCTACTATTCGTTCTTTCGTATACTAGATTAATATCATGACATGTTTATCTTCACAGTTGTACTTTCTATGGTTGAAACACCGTATGCCATGTTCTATGCAACTCTGTGCTCGTGTACCAGCACTCAGAGCAGACAAGAGGAAACATACACAAGTTTCGTTCTCATGCACACCCATTTATCGTTGAATATACATATATCCTTTTTCCATTATGAACTGCAATAATTAACATGTACAAAGGCTACATTATCAGACGCGTTCATACACGGCACAGTAAGGGCACAAATACGATAGACTATTAATACTCGTGGTTTTGTATTTCTTTAAGGGGTCGGAATTGATTCTGAGCGTCAAGTCCATAACTGAAACACGGTTGCTGACGTGGGGCATCCTAAACGACTTCACACTTCGTACTGTACACGCAACATGTCAGCTAGCTAGTCCGATGAGGCAGGAATGACAATGTGCACCTGAATAACCATAGACACAGGGAATGGCGTGATCTCACTCTTCTCATCCAAGTACTCGACTTCAGGACAGCCACGCTCAGTCTCGACGATCCTAAGTATGAGATCAATTAAGTCAATCGCTCGACTCGATGTTAAATCGTGTGTACCTGTTAAGCGTGCCCATGGGCCCTGTTGCCCTCTGGACATTCTTCAAGGTGAAGATAGCGCGGAGAACCCTTGGAACGATCTGTTATATTGAGCGATAATCATTAAAATTTCAGACAGAAATCAGCAAAGTACAACTCACCGACTCAAAGAACGTCGAATTTGTAAGTCTGCAGAGTAAGAATAAATACCCGACTCTTACCATGCCTAGTGTAATAAGTTGCTTACCCGTACTCCTCCAGACCGAGGAGGGCTTGCCCTGGGAGGTGTCTATAATCAAGAGAGCTAGGGTTGTCTCCAAAAGCCGTCGGCTGAGATTTACTTAGAAAGGACTCGGGCGAATAAACAACCACTGGTACTCACGTCGAGATTCGCTTCCACAATACTAAGGTACACTTTAGCTGGTTCGCCGCCAGGGTTACTCTCTTTCCTCATCAGACTCAACACTGGGGGATTGAGACCTTATGGCACACGTAAGTAATCCAATTGATTAATAAGTAACGGAAGTTGACTTACGGAGTGCTTCACATGCAAGTTGGTATACCTCCTTATCAGCCCTTGCTGAGCCAGTGTTGCACAAGGCTACTAGATCTCTCCGGACGTCCGCCTGCTCGTCCTGCAGGAAAAAGTCCAGAATATGCGAAATTGACTTCGAGAACAGCGAGATTGAAGGAATAAGAGCTCCGAATAAGCTGTTCACGAGTGTTCTCCTATCGTGCATTGTGCTACTAAGAACTTTGGCGAGGAACGTGTCGCTAAAATTGTCTTCGCCGGTATACCACTGCAGAACAGAGTCTGCAAGTTTGCCCACCTACAGATGATAAGTTAGTATTTATAAGCCATCCATTTAGTCGGCCAAAGACGAACGATGCTCCTTTGCGAAAGCCTCTTTAGGTGTTCGCTCAAATTCTCAGTGACCTTCCGAGTAGACCTTGTCGACCTCTCGCGTAACACCCAGTCCATGTACCCATCTGTGTTTATGAAAACAAAGCTAATCGCCAAATCCCAACCAAATCAATAAGCGTTACCAACGAATACCATTCATGACAACTCACTTGCAAACGTCCATGAACATAGCCGCAAATTCCGTATCACGGAATAGACCGCGTGGCGTGTCGTCAGTCTTAATCGGCAGGCCCATGAGTTCTGTCGCGACAAAGTAGACTGGTACAAGGTTAATGACGTCCCGAACAACGTCAATATACTTGACGTTTCTCGAACCGGGGCACGAGATGGATTTTTCCTCGATGAGCTTGCCTGCAATGTGTTCAAAGATAGAGGGATAGTTTCTCCTTTCGATGAAGAAATTGAGCGTTTTGTTGACCTGGGTGTCCAAGGTGAGTTAGATGACGACAAAAACGTTTTCAATGGAGTCGCTTACGAGGTGAATGTCGAGCGTAGTGTCACTGGTCAACTCAACTATCTTCTGCTTCGCGTCGGATTTGTATTCGTCTGGTCTCGCTAAGACCACTTTCACATTCTTGTAATCCCTCAGCACAACTACGGGAGCCGGAGGCTTTGGAGGTGCAAATTCATAATTTCTAACCGGACTATTGACGAGCTTGAAAAGGTATCCACGCATTTCGCTAGGAACCATGAATGGGAAACGCGCATACGTCGACCGAGCAGGATAATATTCTGGAAGAGTGCGGTATAGCAGACGCGTGAGTACACCGCCGTATGCACCGTCATACTTCTGTGGGAAGCAATCTAAGTAGCCCCACGACGTTAGGTTGTAGACTGGTGTTGGGGTGTGTTAGTTCAAACTTACTGGAACACATGGTGTACTCACCGGTGAAGTCGGTCGTAAGGAATCTATCGCCTCTGACGAGAGCAACGGCGTCCGAAAGGATGGCACGAGAGATTGTATAGCCAGGACAAAGCCCTGCCCCAGGAATAGGAGGCTTCGCCTCCTCTGCTTGGAGACCAACATGAAGTTCGAGATTATCAATATCGCCGTAGAGCATCTCCGCAGTTTTCTAGATGAAATGCGTGAGATCGAATCGGGATATTTAAAAAAAAGGTTGTACATGTATTTCTGGGTCCGAGTTCCATTCTTCAAAGCTCGAAAACGGCTTCAGTCCCATAAATTGCCTAAACTCATTCATCTGCATTGACTGTGAGCTATTATCAAAGAGATGGCAAAGGACAAGTATTTACCGTAGCGGTTCCCCATTGGCGCGCTTGCTCAATACCCATTATCTCCACCACGCGGAGGACTTCGGGTATACCGCGTGCCTTAAACGCGCCAGCAGGTGCTGCTGTCGCTGCCTGTATGAGGGCAGCGAGGTCTCCATCATTAAAGCCACCCGTGGATGGATCACGAGCAAGAGGTTGATTGTCCACGCTAAACGGATGATCAGAGGTGATATAGCAGCGCAGATTGAGCGCATCATACTTATCGAACGTCCACTTTCTTACATCCGGATCGGGGCGAAGCTTTTGTGCCAAAGTACGCTCAAACTGTTCTATCGTAATCTGTACCAAATGTTAGCATCAAAGCACCCTAAAATGCATTGATACTGACAGATTTGAAGTCTGTAGTCTCGAAGTACTCTTCGAATGCATGCTCTGTCCAAGCCGTGTCGCGTTCACTGATTGCAGCATGCCAACGGTAAAGAAGGTTGAATTCGAGGGACACAACATTGCCTTCACCCCGAGGGCTCACAGAATGGTCTGGCTCACGCGACTCCTATAAACTGATGAAGCTCTGAACTAATAGTGATGAATGTAGATTCTCGTACAGCCAATGGGTCCAAGCGCCATTCCAAGCCATCCCTCACCAGTCCTAAAATAGCACCGACATAGTCGCCCAGGATAACACGCATAAACCAGCCGCAGTTTACGAGTCTGGCACGTGCAAAAAGTTCATCATCTTGGGCCTTTCTATCCTCGTCGCTCAGGTCTGCAAGCGCTTCGCCAGATTTGAACGTGCCTGATTCGTTGATTGCCAGGAGTTTTGAAGCGATGAACTGCAAGAATTTACCCGTCTTAGAGAATGAATTTAGGAGACACAAAATTCCTCACATTATGATTCCTGCAAAATAAGACGAGTAGAGCTGGTACGCTTGGAGGCATAAAGAGCACCCTTGCGTCCGCAAATACATCCTCCCATAGCCTACCTGTTCCGTCGAATCGCCTTACTTTTTGCAAGTCTGCATCGCTGCTACCGTATAGAGGGCTCAAGTCGAGATAGGAAGATACGTTATTGATGCCCCAGTCAGAATGGCTTGTGTTGAAACACGAATGGATAACAAGATCAGCGAATGCGAAAAACAACGAACTGAGTCCGCCGGGTTGAGGTGCAAACCCTCTGTTGTTCGTTGGTGGAAGCGTCGTATGTCCAGGAATCGCGTCTGGATTTGACGAAGGCAAGATGCCGTTAGTCGTACCGGAGGGCTGCCGCGCCAAAAGCGCATCGAATACGAGACCAGCGTCCGGCCAGCGCGAATACGCATGCGTCGAAGGTACGGTTCGGGCATACGGCTTGCGCGCTGCTCCCATATCAGGATACACTGTGCTATAGCCGGTGCCATCGGCGCTTCGTGCAGCATATGGCCGTCGTGCGTTGTAAGATGGGTCCGAGTAAGGACGGCGTGCGTGGGACTCTGAGTCATGGTGGGCAGACCCATTTGCATGTCCATTGGCATGACTGTTCACATTAGCATAACTTGCAGCACTTGTGGATGGATACGAGTGTGCACCCCCACCAGCAGACAGTGTCGGAATGTATGCAGCAGGTGGATGAGGGAGGTCTTTGTATACTGAGGAAAGGATGTATCAGCGATTCAGAATGCTGAACTGAAGAAAATAAAATAAAAATGCGAGAGTAAAAGTGTGAAATGAGGCCCAAATTGTGCGAGGTAACAAATCAGAGCTTATTGAGTTCTCCAAAAGCGGGGCTGCGGAGAAATATAAATAGCCTTCATGTATCTAAGCTGCAAGATCTGATTCGATTTAACCAGACGGAGTTTAGAGTGCCGATCAAAGATAGACGATGACACAGGAGACCAAATAGTGCTGGGAAGCATTCCACAGGACTGCTTCGCTAGCTGGGAAGCCCCATTATAACTAAACCTGGCAAGGTGGGGGTGACAGCACGTGCAATGCAAACAGGTGAACATGGCATGAGTTAAACACGCGACTCGTGCAGGGACGCAACACGATGGTGACAAACTCAAAGCAGATCAAGGCAGATATTAAGTCAAGTATAAACGCGACTTACGCGTGTCGATGACAAAAACTTGGAGTGACTTCGCGAATTCACTGTCGTCCGGCAGGCGCGACATCAAAACGAGGACCTTCTCGAGCTAGACCGAGCGTTGAGCATACCAACAGATAAACACAAGCTATGACGTACAAACATCTTTCGGTCGTCCATGCCCTCTCCGCCATTGATATTTTTGATTGCATCAATATAAGCAGGCTGTGATGCCACGGAAGGGCGTAGGTCAGAAGTGCATGCCTTTACATTCTCTGGTGGTACACATACAATGTCTCTCAGGCGAAAGCCTGGACCACGTTCAGCAAAGATAGCAACATCTTGTGCACTCTTGTGGAGGACGTCTGCCACTCGGGAGATGGTGCCAGTACTGGTGGCACGTTGTTGAGAACGAGTTCCGGCACCGTCTGTATCGACTGGCGCAACTGAGCGAGCGACAGCATCTGCCGAGTCGGACACGCGCGTCGCAATTGCAGCGACAAATGCCGACATGATGGGAAGAGGAAAGAGGGTGGAATGAGGACGAGGGGAACTATTCCGAGGGCGGAGAGCGCGTCTAAATACATTGAATATTTTATGAGTATTAAACGCACGTGACGCGTCTTTCCTCAAATTCGCTGGACAGAATAATAGAATATCACTCATGAGTAATGTGACATGGGCATTAAATGTCGATCTCTGCAAGTCCAGCTCTTCAATTTTGAGAGACTTGCATAACTCTTGGCATCTTAACTCTAAATTGCTGAAGCCCTTCTGCAAGTGTCTCTGCCAATTAATTGAAGTCACCTAATGTGATGCTTGCAATATGCAGAAACAGGTAGAAGACAATTACAGTTTGAGTTGCAGGGGAGCGTTACAGTCATTAACTGTTCCTTTGAACACTACCATTCCCTTGAACACCCCCCCCTTAACTCTACAACAACTTACTGTAAAATCTCAAAAAAATAGAATTACTTAGAGCTATACTTTTACTTTAAGTATATGAATTTTGAAGCAAAAATATTCAGTATTTATTTGTACAGAAAATCAAAACTGGTAAAAATGAGTGAATTCAAATTATATGACTGTAAACAACTTTTTTTTGAGATGCTTCTGCTCAATAATTCAAATTTAAAACTACATATTTGTATTCTTCTGTATCATAGCTACAATTTTTATCTTTTATTATGGATATTGAGTGTGTATTTAAATTAATATTGAACAATTTGTTGAGACTACTCTAAAAGTGTGACAGCTGAAAAATGATCAGTATAAATGACCTCATTACTCAAAACACTAGGTTAATGACACATTAGTAAAGCTATAGTCTGTTATGCTAAATACACTTTTTTTCCTCTTGTTTCCTCATTCTCTAACAACTCTACATTCATGACAAAGTCTGCTAAATCTAAATTACTACAAAGAAGAGAAGGAAAAGAAAAAAAGAAAAAATATTGTTACTACTATGGAAATGTATCAGGCTGAGCTAGAACAGCCACTAGACAAGCATTGAGGGCTCTGAAAAATTGCTAACATGTTTGAAGGAGTGACAATAAGTACATTAAGAAATAGGGTGGCTGGAAAAAGGTCTATTTTGGAGTTTAATACTTTAAAGACAAAGCTAAGTAAGGAGGATAAAACAGTACTTACTTAACTAATACAGATTTCTTCTGACTGAGGCTGCCCCTTCACTTGTAATAATGTTTGACATACAGCAAACTGTTTGCTTGAGGCACAAAATGGACTTGAGTACTTAGAGTGTGGACCTACATTTGTTCAGCAATTCCTTGAGTATTACTATAATAAATTAAAGACTTACTAGAGTTCTCCCCTGAATATTCAACAAGCAAACAGATTAAACCCTACAACTGTTCATAAGTGGTTTGACATTGTAGAGGACAAAATTATAAAGAAAGGAGTCTTACCTGAGAACATATTTAGGATGGATGAGTCTGGGTTTTCTTTAACTAATAATAGTATAAGGTATGTTATTAAAGCTAGAGGGAAAAGGATTCAGCACAAGCAAGGAGGGGCAAATAGAGAGACTGTAACTGTTATCATTACAATCTGTGCTAATAGTACTTACCTGAAGCCAGTTATCATCTTCAAAGGTCAGAATATCTGGTCTAAATAGATAGAAAATAATGTTGTAGACACTAGGTAAGTAAACATACTTTCTAAAAGAAAGAGACTAACTTGCCTAATAGGTTTACTTGCTCTCCTAATGGCTGGACTGACAGTGAAATTGCTCTAGACTGGTTCTAGAATCAGTTTGAGCCAAGTACAAGAGAGTAGGCAAATGGACATACTCAAGTTCTTATTCTTAATAGTTATAACTCTTATTACTCTCTTAACCTTCTTAATGTAGCTACTATAAGTAATGTCTGTATTCTTACATACTTACCTTATTGTATACATACATTGTAGGGCTTGGATGTAGTGTGCTTTGCCAAGATGAAACAGATTTGGAGAAATCTTATTAATGAATTTGAAACACATACATTACAATGTGTAGGAAAGTAAGACTTTTTAGGACTGTTTGGAAGAGTATTTCTACTTACCTTTGACTAGTATACTATTCAATCTGCCTTCTGTGTCACAGGAATACATTCATTCAACTAGGATGTTATTTCTCTAGAACAGTTATAACTAAGCAAAGTTGGTTCTACATCCTCCTCCTTTCCCTTACTACTGTCTACTCTAGTCTGTCATATTATAACTGTATTTCACTATCAGCCTCTAACAAGCTTTAATGTTAATGTATTAACACACCTACTAGTAACTACACCTTTTATATTATTATCTTACATTTAAGACTGTTAAAACACTAGTTCTTATAGTAGTAGTATTATTACACTACTACTACTACAGACCTATCCAGATACTAGCTCTTATAGTAGTAGTATTATTATGTTGCTACAGGTTCCTATTATTAATCTAGTAATTGATCCACCTCTGTACACACTAATAAAACAAATACACTTAATATACTTATTACTAGTAATGTTAGTGTCTAGAAGTTTTCTAGTAAAGAAAGAACAACTTACCTCTTTAGAAACACTTCCACTACTTGTACTAGAGAAGGTTCCTTCACATCTTAAAGATCCAGACTAGAAACTTATAGACCTGTACTTGAATCAGTTAGTAGGACAAGAACTTAGAGTAGAAGTCAAGAAACTTACTAAGAACATTACTCAGACATGTTAGTACATCAAAATCAGCTGTAGTATTATAGAAGGGGTTCAAGCACAGCTTGTTCTAGCCTCTCTTCTTAATGCTAGGCTCCAGAATACTCTATACAAGAAGGAGAAAGGAAAAACAATAGAGAACTTACAAGTTTTTAATAATAGAATACTAAAGATTATGACCTCAGATGAGACCAGGGAAAAGCTCAGGCAGAGGAAGGAGTTGAAGGATAGAGAGGAGAAGGAGGCTCATACATGAAAGAAGGAGGCTAAAAGGAAGAAGGATGTTAATGATACAATCAAAAGTAAATAGAAACAAATCAAGACATACTATAACAAAGACCTTACCAAATAGTAAGATGAATGTACTATGTGGAAGGAAGAGGGGCTTCTAAAGGCTTACTAGAGCCCTAGACCATCTAGACCAACAAAGAAACAAGTCCAGGAGTGTCTACTATGAGAGAGGGGCATAGACAGTACTATATACAAAGAAGTAGTGTTTAAATAAGGTGAATATAACCCAGACCTGTGTAAGTGTAATGAACAAGGCTGGAAGTGCACCTATAGCTGTAGATAAAGTCATAAAACAATTGTGTGTACAAAATAAAGTAAGAGGAGCATACTGAGAGTGAACATAGGAGCACAAGTTGAGAGTATAAGGGTGAGGAGGATGAATGTGGGGTGTTCAAAGGAGCAGTTTTTGTGACAAATCCTCTCATTTTTGCTACATTCATTTTAATTTTTCTACAAATCCTAATGGCCTGAAAAAATTCAGGCATGCTCTTATTGCCATTTAATTCCTAATTACAGCTTAATTTTTCCTAATTTTTTGTGTAGAGTAAAATACAATCAAATTTAAAGTTGGTGTTCAAAGGAACGGTTAATGACTGTATTACCGATTTTGCATTTTTTGCCAGACGGGACGGACACGGAGAGTGTGAGGACGGCACAACGGAGGAGAGCTGTGTTGGCGATAATCGGTTGCCTGTTTTGTTTTTGTTGGGTTGTAGTCAGACATTTCTTTATTTCAAACTCCGACGCGTTTGCAAGTGCCAACAAGTGGGTTCGAGCACTTGCAGACACTTGCAGAGAGTTGCACGGATTTACATCTCTATTTGGTATATATTAAGGTACGTCCACTTTGCTGAGCCACCCCAAAATTTTCCAACTGTCCTGCAAGTGCTCCTGCCAATTAATTGAAGTCACCTATTTGTAGCAATTGCTTATTGTGAACCTGCTCCTTATTACAGACCGGAAGTACCAAACCTCCGACTCTGTCCAACTATCCGTTTCAGTCGTATCTTCCCCCCTTCTTCTCGGCCGCCAACGTCATCCGCACAAAACCATCAGAAAGCTAATAGACCACCAACACATTCCAAAATAGGTCCAAGAACTCCTCGTGCACTGCCTCATGATGCGTCTTTCCATTGCTGTCTACTGACTAAAAGTGAAACATAACGCGAAATCAACTACATAAAACACAACCCCGACTGTGACTGACAAAATAGCCACCCTGGAGCAGAGCTCGTTCTGTCCTAAAGGATGCAGTCTAAACGACACGAGAACGCACTTGCCTTGGCTTCACAAAGTTCACACTTGCCTTTCTCGTCTTTATTATCATTGCCTCACTTCCGATTTGGCCTGACTCAGCCTCCGCATATACCCTTTCGAAGCGAGCGGTAGGCGTTCATCAACCGTCGCTCTCAAAAGTCGTTCTAGGCGTCGAACTTACCCCTCACTTTATGTGGCCGCTCATTTAAGTTGCGCCGCACTCTCCGCGGTCGACTTCCTTGATCAACGAGCATATCTAGACTGATTAACTGAGATATGGCATGAAATGTCTTGAGCTTTCCGGTTTCGGGATACAAGGCGTATTGTACTATTCTGGGTACTTACCCAATATGAGGATCGAGCCCATTTGATATTGAGCCTCTCCACAGCGCACGCGCAGCATCCATCAGTAGGGATCCGAATCGTACCGTACAGTACGGTTACGACCCGTTTCGGTCACGGTACGATCTGTACTCGTACCGGACTTTGAGTCACCAAATACGGCTCGTATAAGACGGGCCGTATCCCGTATCCTATTAGGCCAAATACGGCCGTATACGGCCGTATACAGAGTACGGACATCCAAAGAAGATTTTCAGTATTAATAACATGTCTAGCACAATTTATAACTATTTCTTCTCTTTGTATACCTTATAATATACCTTTTATACATAAAAACACCAAATTTAGCTAATCTTGGGGTCAATGTATTAATATTATATTATTTATCTTCTCAAAATAGTTAGTCATGTGACTATCTTTTATTACTTCATACAAATTATATTTCAGATTTACTGAATATATTGATGAAAATGGGCATAACAAGTGCTAATTTGATAGGGACATACATATAAAGAAATAATAGGCCTTTTTAACGATTTTAAAGTATATTAATTATTTCTTTCTATTAATATAATATTAAATTTGTATTTACAAGCGTATTACCGTATACGGCTGTATACGGTACACACCGTAGCCGTACTTGTGTCCTAGAACTCAAAAAACGGTCGTATTTTTACGACTGTACCCCGTACAGGCCCGTACAGAGTACAGTCGTACCCGTATACGGTACGCTCGGATCCCTATCCATCAGTGCATGTTCCGCTCATAAATGAGCACCTCGTCGAACAAACACTGCCCCTCATCACAGCATCCTGGATTCCTAGCTTACAGTTCTTTTGTTTGGCATTGCTCTGTTCACTGCCAACTAGACATCAAAGGAGAGACAGTGGATAAAAAACCGTGATTGAGAGTCTACAGCCTCTGCGCTGCCTGATTATGCAATCCTTAGGTGAGGCATCTGATCTTGAAAAGCAAAGGATATACGTTTAGTTAGTATCCTCCCGTTGGCTGTGGGAGGAAGTACACTACGATTAGCTCCCAAAGGAGGAAAACCCAAAATGTGGCCTTGCAATCGCGTAACTGCTGCGTGCAAAGTTATTCTTTACTCTTTAATGTGGTTAACTGTTAGCAATACACTACAGGAAGCACTTCACGTTCTTCCTTCTGTTGACATGTCAAAGCAAGGTTCTACACGAAGAACAACATTAACTCATCACTCACACAAAGATGAAGGGGCTCCTCACAGTCATCAAGTGGGTCCATGCCCCAATCACCCACGCAAAATTACGCCAGTCACCATCACCTACATAGGCTGGGGAATCTTCCTCGGTGGCGTCAATGCTTCTTGCAAACCTTTTCTTCTCCAAAATTCTATCACCAACCTCCTGTCACTCGGGCGGCAACCTGTGGAAGACTTATCTCCAGAAATCACTGCAAAGTATATTGATATTGCTAATACAGAAGAAACGGACATTAATGTCATACTCGACGAGGCTTGTCGTTTTATCAATCTGGGCACGAGAGGATCTAACAGGATCTTAGTGCATTGTCGTTCTGGGCAGTCCTGGTCACCTACAGCGGTTATAGTCTATTTGCATCGCTTCAAAGGCCTTGCAATGTTCCATGCCTTCTACTTTGTCGCGAGGAAACGCCCACTCATCTGGCTCAACAAAAGCTTCCAGAAATACCTCATAGTTGAGTCCGCCAAGGAGAAAGGTAGCAAAACAAGACCCGAACATTTCGTCCTGCCTGGAGACATCTTTGACGAACTCCCCCCCAAAATTCGCAAGAACAAGGAGTATCTAAGTGTAAATAAGGAAAATTTGGAGAAAGAGCTAGGACTGTCACTGAAAGTAAGTAGAGAAGGGAGTAGAGCCGATATCAAGATTGATTTCTCAACTGAGGAAAGTAAAACCGAGTAACCTTTTTAATACTGTAAAACTTCTCTCATGTAGTGTCTTGAGACAATTAGAAAGCTACTGTGTTGCTGTAATTATTAGTCATTCACTAAAAATACCCACTTAGTATATAACTCACTTGGTTTTTGCTCACAATTCTTGCAAAAATTCCTACATGTAGCCACTACATGTGTTGTTATAATTGTGAAATTTCAGTTCTAAAAAACAAGAGTTATGACTCAAGATATATTGCCTGTAATGTTAGAAATTTGTGTACTTATAACTTGAAATTTCTACAAATGAGTGTTTCCTATACTGTGAACACATAAAGTACCTGCTTTCTGATCCCTTCAATTATATTCTCATCTTTAATTTTTAGACACAGGTTTTCAAAATAAAATCAATGAATTATAAGTATAAGATACAGACTTATCTATATGTGTTATTTTTGGAGCATAAAAGCTGAATGTGGAATTTACAAGACTCAAAAATCCTTACTGTAAGTGTTTCTGAGAGAAACACAGTAATAGACTACCCAGTACTAACACAACCCAAAGTTGGCTAGAGAGTTCCTTGTACACTACCTCAGGATGTACAACAACCTGTAGGATAGGTCTGGTAGGGTACATTGTATAGTTGCTAATATCTGGTCCCAGACTGCTCAGACTTGGTCTGGATGCAGGACTGGACTGATAGACTAGTCCTCTACAGTCTGGTCCTTATGGGTCCAGGAGGGGTCTAGTCCTGGGTCTATCATTTTGAGAAATTTTCTAGACTGATAGACTTGTCTAGACTCAGACTAGACTCTGAACCTGAATAACCTGGACTAATGTCTTAAATCTTGTTTCCCATATCTCTAGCTCACTATACTAAAATAGATCATACTCCTTTAAGGATCTTTAAATATTAGCTAGCACTTGTATAGTACATTTTACAAGTTTCTGACAGTTCAAGCAAAGTAAAACTTTACTCCTGTTCTTTACTGTTCAATGTATGGCTTACTAAACTTGACTCTTCCTATCTGGTTATTGTCTCCTAAAATATTTATTCCTTTTATATGTATTTCTTTCCTATTTCCTATTTTCACCCTCTTTTTAGTTTACTAAACTACACTTCTCTCTCTCTCTTCTATATTCACTCTTCTCCCATCCTATGCTAAAGACACTGTAGTCCTAGCCACCCTCCCTAGTCAAGTAGCCAGCTAATGCTCCTACCTCTAACAAATTAGACAAGATGTCTGAAATTGCTCTTAGAAAGAAGAAGAACACTGACACTCAGGCTGCTTTCTGTACACACTGTGCTAACTATATTGCCACCCTTAAAGAGACAGGTCTGTCTGCTACTAAGTACCTAAATATTCATATTCTGACAACTAAGTATTTGTAAATTATAGTAACTAACTGTAAGGATAAGTATACTAGCTTTATACAAAGATTCTCTCTTTACTAGCACACTCAACTACTGACTAGGATAACCTAGTAATCAAGCACTGAGAAGGAGAAAGAATCCCCTAACCCTTAGCTCAAAAACCCTTTATATATGTGTATACACATATAGTAGGATACAGAGTAGTCTAGTGAACAAAAAGGAAAACACTCACAAGCACCTACAACACATGTTGTGCAAATGTACAGGTAGTACAATTGTTACACTCACCCTCCAGCATTTAATCCTAAATACTAAGAGAGTTAGTACTAGAATAAACAAAATAACAATACAAAAACAAAAGAAATTGTCTAGTAACTTACTACAAAGTTTAGTACTACTGTACTAGGATGTTCTCCACAGTCATGAATGTGTCTTCAATTGGTCCTATAGTGGACTGGACGTGTTTCAGTCTGGATTAGACATGTTCTACAGTAGAACTGGTGGAACTTATAGTAGATTGGTTGGAATAGCTATTAGATTGAGTAGAAAGCAGTAGATTTGGCAGTAGAGTAATGCTTTAAGGGTTGAATGAGTTCAGAGCACTAATATTAAGTACTAAAGTAAGATCAGTAGATGTTAAGAGCAATTGCAAATCAATCTGAGAACGTTTACAGTTGTGTGAGTAGAATATAGTAGTTCTGTTGTTAATTTGCTCAGCTCTACACTTTGCACCTAAGTAAAATAGTAAGGTATATACACTTGTAATAATATAATATAGAATGTATGTGTATTTACCTTAGTTTGAAGCCATGTTCTTACAGTATACAAAGTCCTGGGATACTTGTATTATCTTAGCATGTTGAACACAGTCTTAGAACAGTAGTAGCAGGCTCAGTCTTGTATGAGAAGGAACATGGAAGTTATACAAGCATAATACAAAAAGATAATACTCTAAGAGTTATATAGTAGGGTTGAGAGAGTTGTTGTGGATAGCCCTAGAGAAAGCTACAATCTCCTTAAGCTCCTCTTGATTGAAAACATAGTTAGTACTTGTACTGTAGTTGTGAGTAACCCAATCCTGAGTGATTGGTTGTACTCAAGGGCCAACTAAGAGTTGTAGAGAAGGATAAGGCATATTTGTGCCTTGTAGAAAAGTAGATACAAATGTATAAGTAACAGATTCTTGAGTAGTAGACATGATATGTGTAGTAAAGTGACTATATGTACAGTTTTTAAAGCCTTTACATAGGTCTACCTATATGTTCATACTGTAGTATTGTGTTTGAAAGATTGTCTCATGTTTTACTAGACTAATACTAACCTGAGAGTCATCAGTGTTGAGTTTTCCCTTTCCTAGAGTTAGTGTATTAATAGAATTGATTCCAAGTATGTCTAAGTATTCCTTTAATGCCTCAAGGTGTGTAATTTTATTATAGGGTAGCTATGTGTAATCTCCAGACTTCTATAGTACTTTGAACAAAGTGGTAGTCCCTTGTCCTGTATGAGTTTCAATTAAATCTACTGTCCATTCCTTGTTCTTATTGTTTAATCTAGTAACTTGTCCTACTTCCCTTCTAGGGAATAATCTATCATTGTTTAGAACATGTATCCTAAGTAGTAATGAATAAAATACTGGGTGGATGTTATGATTCCTCATTTCCCTAGGTAGATCTAGTTTAAATGCCTTGTTTCCTGTGTTCTGGATTATTCTATAAGGTCCTATGTACTTTAGTACTAGTTTCCTTACTCACTGTCTAGGTAAATTCATGTTCTTTATAGAAACATACACTAGATTGTTCAATTTGAAGGAAAAGGGTTGTCTGTATCTATTAGTATGTCTAGTTTACTTTACTCTTGCCTGAAGGATTGTATTGTGTGTCTGTAGTATTGCATCCTTTACTTTCTGAGTGTAAGTCCTAACCCTAGAATATTCATCCTTCCTAGGGTTGTTTCATATCAAGTTCCTTAGTATCTAACTGTAATTTAGAAAGAATAGTGTATATCCTATAGTTTCTGACCTTACTATATTGATAGTATACTTGATCATAAGTAGTTTATGTATCTAATCTTTTTGTTTAGGAGAAATACACTGTCTGAGCATCTGAGTAATTGTTCTGTTCATTCTCTCAGTTGATCCATTAGTCTGTAGATGATATACACTTGATAGCTTCAATTTAATACTTATAAGTTCATATAATCTTCTCCAAAACATACTAGTGAATAGGGAGTCACAATTGCTAACAATGTAATTAGACAGTCTATACAGTTTATAGACATTTTCAAATACTATCTCTGCAATTTCTCTTACTCTGTATGTTTGCCTAGTAGGAATAATGTGTACTATACTAGTTAATAGACAAATAACTGTACAAATCATATCAAAAGGTCTCAACCAGTTCTTCAATTCAGGAAAAGGTTCAACAAAGTCTATTCCTATACCTTCCTAAGGCCTATTAGGTACTAAGAGCAGATGTAGTAAACCAAACAGTTTCTGATTGTTAGGTTTGCTAATCTTATATGTATAATATGAATCATAGTAGGAATTAATGTCTATAATCATATCCTTCTACCAAACTTGTTCTCTAAGGTATGAAAGTGTCTTTCAAGGTTCTAAGTGTGTCAAAATAGAATGTGCATATTATATTACAATTTCCCTAGTGTTTCTATTGTGTATTAGAATTCTAAGTATGTAAAGTATGTACCTCTCACCCTCCTAGCAAAATATAAGTCCATTTTTGACATATAATTCTGGAAGTGCTTCTGATCTTGTAATATCTGATTAAAGAAGTTATTCTCATAATATCTGCCTTTGAGACATTCCAGGAATTGTAAATCCAGTGAAGATTGAGCTATAATATCAGGTAACTATAGTTTAATCAAGTTCTAGAGTTGATTAGTAGTGTTCTTTAGTACTGGGACGTTCTGATCATTAATTTCAAATCTAATATTATTATCTGAATGTTTGTATCCTTGTGTATTACTTCTAGTGTCTGGTATGTTCATAGGTGAATTTATTTCATACAAATCCAGTTGTTCTGTGTTCTGAGACAGTGTTTCTGATACCTTACTGTGTGTATCTGTTTCCTGATCTTGCTCTACTTTCTCTAGTATTGTAAACTGGCTTCTAGTCCTTGTAGCAGGCCTGCCCTCTGTTTAGAGGCCTGTCTGTGAGTTTCTAGCATGTCTGATAATTAATCTAACCTTTCTACTACACAGTTAACTTGTAATCAATCCTTAAGGTGAAGTTTTCCTTACTACTACTAATCTAGCCTCAATATATACAGTATCCTGTATCTCTAACAGCTGTAAAATGTTATTCCTGACTTGATTAATCCTTGATAGATTATTGTCATTGAGTTACAATGTATATTCTTACTGAGATCAAGTTTCTCCTAGTAAATCTCCTGAGTATATACATAATAACATGTTTG